AAGGGACGTAGAAGGAAAAGAAGAAAGAAAGAAAAGAAGAAGAAGAAGTAGAAGAAGAAGTAGTAGAAGAAGAAGAAGAAGAAGAAGAAGAAGAAGAAGAAGAAGAAGAAAATTATGACGATGATGAGATATCGGATGACGAGGCTCACAGAATGGATGACAAAGACGACGACAGCTGGGATGAATGGGATCTTGAAATGTCCGAAAATGAGAAGGACTAATTGGATCAAAAATACAGAGATAGAGTTCCAAAGGGAAATGAGGCTTCACCGCACTTGCAAATAATTAAAAAGCACGTACAAATAAAAAACAGGAATCGTAGAAAAATCCCTACATTTTGGTCCCCAGATGTTGATCATGACTATAAATTCATACATTTTTTTTTGATTGGTACACTTGCTTTGGTTGACATGTCCAGTCTTGGGTATTTTACACGAGAACTCGTTCATCTTATCCTTATTTGGTCCCCCATTGCATGGCATTCTGCCCTGTGAACGCCGCATCCCGTTGTGCCTGTTCTCTTCGTTCCGTCTGCTCCTTCAATCGCTCGCCTCCACCCCCTTGCTTAAAATTGTTTCTCCGGGCCTCTGCAGCCTCTGCGCGGCGTGCCCGGAGTGCTTCCTTCTCGTGTGCACTTAGGACGTATGGGATAGCGCCATGGTCTCCATGTGTGTCACCGGCAGACGCAGTCGTGCCACCGCGTGCACAACAACAAAGGGCTCCCATCCTATTTGATATAATAGGAGCATGTACGAATGTGTTGGGTTTTTCTTCGGCTAGTAAACGGATATCACAGAGACCGCGATCTACAGGATTGCAAGCTGACTCCAGTTTATTGGTTTATAACTTTAAACGCCAGCACAAGAACCCTATTCCAGCCTAAAAGTCAAATAAGGCTCTTATATAAGCTGGGGGTGTACGTCCAAGGCCTGCCTGGCATACTTTCCAGGTGCTGGGTCGTATTAAATTAGGCATGACCGTTGCAATGACTGACGAACATGCCAACGCCTCTGCTTCAACCTGCGAAAGATTCGCTCTCTATGCAGCTCCGTAAACCAATAAGGACCCAGCAAAAGTCATTGTGGCTCTCCTCAGGACGGTATTGTCTGGAATGAATAGCTCATTTTCATTTGAGTGCCAGAAGGCTAGCCCATACTGGGGATTTGATGGAGCAGTAATGCACGATACTTACTCCATTCTGACCTCCATGCTTCACTTGCCAGGCATCGAACAGGCCCGGAGCCGTAGCGTACCCTACTTTGTGGCCTTCTCGCTTCCCAGCAACGTATGGAGGAGCATGATTTCTTTGACAAACTGCATCAGTCGAATTTGCCCGTGCCTGAATTTTCGAGACTGGGAACGCCGTGGGTACGAGACGATATCCAGCGGTACTTATTTATCTTCAGTACCTGTATCGACAAATGACACTGTGGTCCCGCTTCAAAGAATTAAAAAAGGTGGTGGCGCGGCTCTCACTACGTCAAGCTCTGACTTGGCGGCCGTACCAGTGCATCCTGCTATTGCGTTGCCAAGATATGTCATGGACGAGGAGGTGGAGGTACGTGCTGGTGTCTTATGGCACAATTCTCGATTTTTCATGCTTCATCAGCTCATCTCGATGGTTCAATCTATGATCCATGTAATGCAGTACAATTTGTTTTGGGTACTTCTCTTAGTTTTATGTTTCCGAAAATCCTCACGTTGTCGTCATCATTGCCTTTCTCCTAGCGGTGCTTCGCATGCGCGGTTCCCTTTGATTTCGCGCAGAGACGTCATCACTGTCGGCGTTGCCGCAACATTTTCTGTGCGGCTTGTACGTCCCGAGAGCGCCCCGTCCTGCTCTACAGGCTGTCCGATCCTGTCCGCGTGTGTCTTCGCTGCGGAAACGAAGTAGGAAAGGAGAATGAATTTGTGGACCGGCATTTAAAGGGCTTGACGGAAGGGTTGGAAGTGACGGTGACACGGGGTGTCAGCGCCGTGCTTGGCCGACGACAGCCAGTCTCCCTCATTCTCTCTGCGGATCTGAAGACACTCCAAGTCGTCGATCTTCCTTCGCTTCCCGCCTACCACGACGCCTCCCGCCCTCATTCTTCGCACGACTGCCCACGCGTCCTTATGCACTTCCCTCTGGTGGACATTGGTGGGGTCTCGGAGGTTGGCTCCCTCTCCTTCCTTATCTTAACCAGCACGGGCGTTCGACGCAAATTTGAAACGAGCGGACCGGGGCAACGGCAGGCATGGGTGGCGGCGATACGGGAAGCGGCGCGGCTTCTCCCTTCGATGGCAGGGTTGCGAAAGAGAATCGAGGAGGAACGGATCCAACGTGCGACGCAAGAGAGGATGGCGATGGCGGAGCGACAGGAAAAGGATGCGTTGCTAGCGAAGAAAAGGGAGAAGGCGGCCCTCCGGCATGCCATCGCAGACAAGTACGGTCTGGCAAGAAGATGAATCACAGGCTTCCAAGTCTCCCGTGTGCCGAGGGATCTGGACAGAAAAAAAGCAACTTGTGGGCTGCTACAGCGGTGTAAAGTGAAGGGTCGATGTGAGACAAATGGGGACCGTATGTGCAGCCGTGTAATGATGGATGGGGTGACAGAGTGAGGACGTGGGGGGGTCAGGGGGCAGGGAAGGGCGCGGCAAACGAGGTGGGATGAGATGCTTGTCGTGTCCCCAAAGTATGTACAAACGACCGAACCTTAAAGAAAGTGCTAAAATTAGACTGGAACCGTATTCGTGTTTGAGAAATGGGCTCGCGAGATGCTCCTTGAGTGCTTCTCCCCCTGTTTCGGGAGGCTGGTGGCGGCCCATTTAATTCTCCACTTCTCTGCCTTCCCCTTTGCCTCTACTTTGCCCTAGTAACGTCGATCCCGCGCTACTTTCTTTCCACTCAATAATCATCACCACCGTACTTCCCCTTCCCTTGAACATCCGATGTCTTTCTGCCTTCCTGTGGCCTGCCGTTTGCTCTGAGTTTCTTCTTTCTCTCAAGCCGCAAAGCCATCCGCCCAGCCCGTGTCCTTCTCTTCCCATGGCCACATGCATGCAAGCCGGACAACTAACTTTCCCCTTGACCCCTCTCCACCCCTTCTCCTCCATGCCCTTAACGGTTTCTCACAGCCAGATTCTCTGTCGAGCTTTCCTCGCGCCCAACATTCCCCCTTCGCGCCCCAGGCGTCCCCCGCAGGTGAGCTCATCACCTGGCTCGCCTGTGTCTGCCAGCCATCCCCCCTGTCCCTCTCCCCCGCCCTCTTGCCGTCGTCAATCTTTTCCTCTACAGCTCCACCCGGCCCCGCCCCGCCCCTGCCTTGCCCATGGGGAGCCCCGCCGCGCCCCCCATCTTGGCCATCTCACTCTCGAGGTCCTTCATGAAGACCTCCAGTTTCGCAGGGTCCTTCTGCAGCTCCTCCTGAATCGATGGTAAATAAAAGTCGGAACCGGTGCAGGTGTCTGCTGACTACGAAAAAAGGACCCGAAAAGGTGGGGAGGAAGGGAGGGAAGGAGGGAGGGGAAGAGGGAGGGAGGGAGAGCTTACGGTCAAGGCTTGGGCCTGTTGCATGGCCTCCGCAAACATCGGAGATTCTGCCATCTTCTTCATCTCGCGCTGGAAGTCCGGATCCGCCATCTGAAGAAGATCGAGATGATAAGGGAAAGAACGGACATCAGCACGGGAAAGGCCTCTGCGCAAGGAGCGACGAGAGTCAAGGGCAGCTTAGGGGGAGGAGGGAGATGGAAAGGGCGAGAAGGTGGGGTGAAAGAAAAGCGGCGGAGAGAAAATGCCCGTCCACAAAATTACCAGGGACTCCACCTCCTTGACGACCGCCGGGTCCTTGAGCATGTCCATGGCCTGCATGAGTCCTGAGGGGTCTTGGACCGAGGCGGCCAGGGTCTCCAGTCCCGTGCGTGCCGACTCCGTGCCATCCTCCGCATTGCCTTGCATGGCCGCCAGCATTTTGGATTGGAAGGCCTCCAGGGCCTTGGGGTCATTGGCCAGCTTTTCCGCCATTTTTAACGACTCCTTGACAGCGTCGCTGTTCATGTATCTGGGAGGGGGAAGTGAGAGGAGCAGATTAGCTCGAAGACGATACGTAAGACGCAGAGATGATTGAGGGAAACAGAAAGATTTGCAACACCCGTGTATTACTCGTCAATCCATTTTCGGTTCTTTCAGAGAACGACTATTCAAAAGTTCCGAGGAATAAACAAAATCACCACTTACTCGGCCATGTAAGCTTGGAATTCTGGGTCCTCCAATAGCGCCTCTACCTCACGCATGATCTCTGGATCTTTTTGCATGTTCATGAGCTCCTGCATGCCGCTGGGATTGGCAACTAAATGGGATGGAGAGAGAGATTAAGCTAGGTCAAGACTCGACGGCCTCGAATCCTTGGGGTTGATCGTCTGGTAGTATAAAACAGCATTTCCAAAAAGGCAGAATGGTTTATGAAGGGGATCGAGGTCATATATATATGATACTTAGCACAGAAAATATGCACGAGTCATATCAAGAGGTCTTGCATCAATAACTCAATCATCCCCCACCCTATGGATCGATCTATTGCATCACTTACAAAGGTCTTGGAAGGCTTCAAGTCCCATATTCGCGCTTTCAATGCCTGTAAACGCTTTTCCTTCATGTTGTTGCTCCTGTTGCTTCTTTTTTTTGGCCAGTTTACTGAAAAGGGCGTCCGCAGAGGAAGAGACAAGGACGAGGACGAGGACCCCCAAGAGCAAAGCCACGGGCCTCAGAAAGGATGCTGGGCGACTCATGATGCGTTTTTATTTGCCTAAGAGGGCACAAATAACAAAAGGGCACGAATAAGACACTTAAGACTTTCGTACGTCAACTTCTTCCCGCGGGCGTCGTGTTTCAGCTCATAAAGTGGCCTGACAAGTGCCTGCAGCTCGAGCAACAGCACCAGCGGCCCGGGTTCAAGGATACTACGTCCCTGCCTCTTCTTTGAGGCCATAACCATGACCAATACTGCCAAAGTTGCCGGACACGCCATTGATGACACGTCCTAGGAGGTTCATGCTACCCTGCGACCACCCTTCCAAGCCTCCAGGGCCTGCCGTGGCATGGTTTGACGCCTCGCAGAGTTTCGGGCACTGCTCCCGTGTAGGTTGACGGTGGGAGGCGGGAAAGTCGTATATCATTTGCTTCGCCAAGCCTTCTTTCTAGGCGATAATTTCACTTCCAGCTTGGCTCCTGCCTTGCGTGTGCATTCCCCCAAGGTGTGCGTCCTGTTCTAAGGCTCGGAGGAGGTCTTAAGTGTGGCGTCTGATAATGTGGCGTAGACGAGTGTCACCAAAAGAGTAAGGAAATGGATGGTAATCTCTCTCCTCCCCCCCCCTCCTAGGGTACAGAAATCGGAAGGACGCACACCAGCTTTCTTGCCTACACCTACCACCAGCACGATGAAAATAACAACACCACAGATTACATGGCATGGAGGCGAGGCTGGTAAGAATGATCCAGTGTTGAGTGCGGATGTACATCCCTGCGGTGTTCTGGCCACGGGGGGGGCAGACGCGGAGGTGCGGGTAAGTCGATTTGGGCGATCGATAGGGGAGGCCGGTAAAGAAAGAGAAGATGGCAAATATGTAGAGTGCAAGTGCATCTGTCATACATTCGTCGGCCGCAAATGCTCTGTATCATGCTTTACGAGCCTGAGAGGGCGGGGAAGGCGGCACTTTCTTCCCTCCTTGGTCGCCATGAGAGGCTGAGGCAGTCTTCTCTCTGAAAGTGATTGGTTACCTCTTCGACTCCCCGCGATGACCGCTGTGCCCTATCTATGCAGCATGAAACTTGATCATGATTTCCTCCCTTTCTTTCTCCACCCCGCATTTTCAGCTTTGGCTTCTCCACCTGGACGAGAACGAGGAGAGCAAATTTCAAGACTACCTCTACAATTTCGAAAACCACCAACGCTCCGTCAACAGCGTGCGCTTCTCGCCGGATGGACGCGCGCTCGCGACTGCAAGTGACGGGGGCGTGATCTTCGTCTACCTCCTTCCCCCCGGGCGCCCCACCCGCTTTTGGCGACGGCCCATGTGCCAGCGGATGGTCCTCTGCCGCCTGGTTCGGACCACGCAGTCCGACATCTACGACCTAGCCTGGTCCCCGTCCTCCCGGGAGCTCTGCAGCGTCTCGGTGGACAGCAAGGTGGCGGTGTGGGACGTGACGGGCGAGAAGAGCCCCTTGCTTTCCACCTTCACCAGTCACAGCAACTATGTCCAGGGCGCCTGCTGGGACCCGGCGGACGAATTTTTGGTCTCTCAGAGCAACGATCGGAGCTGCAGGGTGTACGTGAGGAAGGAGTTGAGGGGAGGGAAGAAGAAGCGGAAAAAGAAGAAAGGGGAGGAGGGGGGGAAGGAAGGGAAGGAGGAGGCAGCGCCGCCCACCGAGTGGGTGGAGCAGGGACTGCTGCGTCTCGCCTGCCGTGAGGAAGGTGGTGGGGAGGAGGAAGAGGAAGCGGGGCGGGAGATGAGCAAGCTGGTTCCGGTTGCGTCCTCGACGCCAGTGGTGCCGGTGGAGAGAAAAGCCGGTCAGGGACATCGGGGAGGGAGGCATGGAGGAGGAAAGAGGGAAGACCACGTCGCTGGCGAGCACGCGCCGGCTCTGAAGCAGGCGGGAACACCCGTGGGCAAGGAGGGAGAGGAAAAAAAGCCAGAAGAGACGGGGGCGGTGGAGACGGAGCTCTCAGGGGTCGGTCAGGAGGGAGATGAAGGGAGGCAGGGCAGGATGGAGGGCGAGGTGAAAGAGCAGGGCGAGGAGGGGCCCCGTCCTGGCCAAGGCGGCAAACCCGCGTCCAAACGTACCCCTCGCCTCCACCTTTTTGCGGACGAGACCGTCCCGTCCTTCTTCCGCCGACCTGCCTGGTCCCCGGACGGCTGCCTCCTCCTCACGCCCACGGGACTTCTCCCTCCCTCGGGGCACAGGGGCGGGCCCGAAGGAGACAACAAAGCCGGCGGCGACAGTGCCCACACGCGTTTTTCCACGCACGTGTACGTGCGGGGGGCGTTCGCAAAGCCTGTGCTCGAGCTGCCTCACCCGGGCGGAAAGGCTTCTGTCGTCGTCCGCTTTTGCCCCCAACTTTTTGCCCTGAAAACCCAGGAGCGGAAAGACCTGCCCTCCCTCCCTCCCCTCCCTCCCCTCCCCTCCCCTCCCTCCCTCCCTCCCTCCCTCCTTCCTGCCCGCCGGCACGCCCGCGGGGGAGGAGAAGACAGAGCCCTCCCCCGATCCCCCTCCCTCTTTGACGAACCTGCCTTACCGGATGGTCTTCGCGGTCTTGACCGTGGGCGGTATTTATGTGTACGACACCCAGCACCATTTCCCTCTGGCAGTGGTGAAGAACTCGCACTACGCCCCCTTGACCGATGCAGCCTGGGTCAATGACGGCTCCGCCCTGGTCGTTACCTCCATGGACGGATACGTGACGGTGGTGTGCCTCCCGGAAGGGGAGCTAGGGGCGAAGTTGGAGCTGGAGAAAGTTCCGGGAACGGTCCGGCAGGTCCACGGGGCCCATTACGACGGGATCAAGAGGGAAGCGGAGGAAAGGGAGGAGGAAGAGGAGGAAGAAGAGCGTGAAGAAAGGGAGCGGAGGTCAGGGAGGGAAAAAGTGAGAGAGGAGGAGGAGAAACGGAAGGCCAGGAGGCAACAAGAAGAATCGGGGGAGGAGGAGAAAAGACGGGAGGCTCCAGTAGACCAATCCAGACAAGCTGGGGAGGTTATCGATGTGTATGACTCCGAAGAGGAGGACGGAATGGCAGAGGCGACAGCGAATTTGGAGGGGCCCTTGGGGGAGGGCGAAGAGGGAAGGAAGGATCCTCAGAAAGGGAGGGGAGGGAGGACGGAGGAGGCGGGCATCCTGTCCGACAGCGAGTCGCTTCACAGTGAAGAAGTCAGCGAGGAGGAGGATGACGAAGGGAATGGACAAAAGGAGGAGGCAGGAGAGGGGGCGGTAGCAGGAGAGGGGGCGGTAACTGAAGAAAGTGACGACGAGTGGGAGGAGAAGAGGATGGCGGTCACCACAGGTACTGGGACTAAGAAGGGAGAGCACAACCATGCGCAGGAGGAAAGGCAAGCGTGCCATGGCGTCAAGCGCAAGAGTGACGAGGGCGGCAAAGAGGAAGAAATGGTCCAGCAAGTAGGAGAGAAGCAGGCCCAAGGCAAGAATGACGATCCCCAGTCCACTCTGACGCCGGGAAGGAAGACGCGAACGGTGCCAACAGCCAGTCCTTTCCATGCACAGGGGTCTCCCTCTGCAGCCCCGCCCAATTTGTCGCATAGCAGCAGCGATGGCGCCGTATCCAGCGCACAGAAAAAGAAACGCATCCGTCCCACGCCCGTGGGGGAAAACCATGCTGCTGAGGTGTTTGCGGCCGCGGCGGGCGTGGGCGAGGCGAGGTTGCCCGTCGCGCGGCTAATGACGGAAGAAGGGAGCAGGAGCAGCTGTCAAGGGACAGGAGTCTTGAAGGAGGCCAACAGTGGACCTGCTGCAGCGCCACTTAAGATCGCGGGAAAGGCAAGCATCAAGCCTGTGAAAAAACGCTTGGCACCCACACTCATCTCCTCTTCTCTGTCCTGAGCTTGCGGAGGGAAGAAAGGTCAAGGATGCCGTAGAGAAGGGAGGGCGTGGTGCGGAAGACTCACATCTCACATGAGGGTCCTAGCAATACGCGAAAAGAGTCGCTTAAAGGTAAAGCGGAGCGATACCGCTCATTTCGACGGCGGTATCGTCCTTGTCCGTCCACACAAAATCAAGAATGTGTGGCAAAGAGCAGAGCGGCATCCTCGGGTGAGTATGGAGTAGAGAAGGACAATGCTGGAGGGAGAAGACTGTCCAATATGGAAACTGAAATGAAACGTTTTCAGAAAAGGTAGTGAGCAATGAGACCTGGATTGTTATGATTGATGGAGGAGGTCTTATATGTGTAGAGAGATATCAGCTTACTGCGTGAGCAAGTCTTCATGACCAAGCTTACGAGCGAGACAATAACAAGACGAAGAGGGGCGGTGCATCAATCGATGAAGCATTATACACCAAAGAAAAAATTCTTCATATTACAGACGAGGACCCATCCAACATGTATCGATGCGTTAGCCTCACTTTGTGCATGGCCATGCTCTGCAGGACAGAGGGGCCGTCGAGGGAAATCATCCAGTGATCGTATCGGCCTACGGCCTGCTCTATACATGACCCTCCTGAAAATAGATTTTCTTTTACTCAGGGGGGGGCAGATGCGGGATTTCTTCCTCCTGGTGCAGGGCGGCCAACGTGGTTTCGTAGCCCAGGAAGATGCAGGCATTTAGCGGGAAAGCCCGGATCAAAGCCACAGGTAGCCCTCGAAAGAAAACGCCTATCCCCTCTTGTTGGTAGCTTTTCTTCGCGCAGTCCCAAACATTGTCGTACACCCCAGGCAAGGCACTTTGCATTCGGCTTTTTAACACGTCGAGACAGTAGAAAGGAGGGAGCCATTGGACTGTCCCGGCCACGCCGCCTGCGAGGAGGAGGAGATGGGGAGGCAAAGGCGTCGAGGACGAAGGCTTCCGGTGTACGATATTGCTTTCATTGCTGCTGCTGCCGGAAGCGTTCGATGCAGCCATCATTTTTTGGAGGGCGCGAACGTTCATCTCATACTATGCCGACAAGGGTGGAGGAAAGATGGAGAGAAGGCCGGTATGCAAGCTTGTGAGCTGGCGCTTCGAATTTTTCGCGAAGACACCATGGAAAGATGTTAGAACGTGACAGTGACGTCATGATCAGCTTTACTCACAGTATTGCACGTTTTTCACAAGTCTCGCCTCCTCCCAACCTACCAGGGGATAGTATACAGCAAATTGAGGCACCTCCCTTAAAGCTGTTGCATCTAAACCGCGAAATAGGCCATTGTAAAGACCTTCTTTTCTCACAAGCTGTACCAGGCATTCACCTGACCATCGGTAGGGGGGTTTGTCAGCCCCGCCAGCGGCTTTTCGGACTTGCATGACTGATTTTATTCTTTCGAATATTTGACGCGCAGGACTCTGTAGAAGCCCAGCCCATGCACCTGATGCTGTCATTTCCCCTAGTGTCAGCTCTCGTTTGTTGTCGCCTTTCCGAAAAAACCGCGTGCCCTGACCATACCCAGCAAAGGAGATCGCGAACGTCACACCAAAGCCAGCTTGAGGGCTCAACAACCCACGGTACAGGGAGCTAATTCCACCCTCGCGCACCATCGAACGTATCACATCGATAGGGCCTTTATAGTGGGGATATGCCTGTAGTCGGACTTTTGCAGTATCCAGAGGAAAGATCAAAGTGATGCCTACGACGCCTCCTACTGTTCCTGGGGTGTTCAATATTAACGGATTAATATGTTAATAAATTATGGACAACAATTAATTGATGAATTGTGACCCTAATAAGAGCATCGTGTCACTTCTTCAGGGAATTAAAACATGTTGAGGATGTACATGAGAACGCTATCGTCTACATGTCGATCTTTTCGTAGGAGGGCGGAAGTATGCTATCGATAATAAAAGCATTGTAAGTACCTGCCAAGAGCTCATGTACAAATTTATTTTCCGCTACCATAAACAGTCTGTCTTGTTTGCTATTGCTCTTGTCGCCTAGGAGTCAGTGAGGTGTTATGTGAGAGTAGATGTCTTAATGGGACGTGCTTCACCCAGCGGGCTCGGTCAGCGGCGAGCGTTTGCTTCTTGTGCCATCAAATTCCGCGTGGTTTGTGTCCACATCAGCCGCCTTTAATCCGATAATACGACCTTCATAACGGCAGTTTGAGAAATTGATGACATACTCCACGTCTGGCTCTGCTCGAGAGCTTCCATTAATGGCGCAGCAGATGCTTTCTTGCGAGGAAGAGGCAAAGCTCCCGCCCAGTGTGATGATCAGGCAAGGCGAAGAACTGAGCGACTTCTTTATGCACCACAACGCGTGACACTTACCCTTTTCCCCTCCAACGCATCTCAGACAACCACTCAGTTGCACCCCCAAGAAACTAGAGACGATTTCAGAACCATGACCAGCGGCGGCGGCAGCAGTAGCAACAACCGGGTGTGCCATTTCAAGCTTGTCCTTCTGGGCGACACAGCAGTTGGCAAATCATGCTTGGTTGTCCGCTTCGTCCGAGATGAATTTTTTGAATACCAGGTACGAGATATGACAAGAGGTTAAATAGGGGCGTTTGGTAAGGGAATAACGAGGTTGGGGGGGGAAAGAAAGAAACCTTCATCGGTTTACATTATGAGAGCAGGAACAGCCGTGTCTCGGGGATTGCCAGTAGAAGGGGTTGACCTCAAAAACGTGACAGTAAACTCAGCTTTAATTTAAGATCAGCAATCTAAACGGAAGCGTGATTAGGAAAATGGTAATTCATGTCTGTTTCGAAAAAGATAAGTCGGTGTTCACTTAATCCCTACCTTCTTCCACCATTCGCTGTTACACTCCTTCACACGTCACGTGAGATAGGAACCTACCATTGGTGCAGCTTTCCTTACGCAAGCTGTAGTACTGGAAGATTCCACAGTTAAATTCGAAATATGGGACACAGCTGGCCAAGAACGTTACCGGTCGCTAGCCCCCATGTACTACAGAGGAGCTTCGGCGGCTATTGTCGTTTATGACATCACCAATGCGGAGAGCTTCAAAGGTGCCAAATCGTGGGTCAAAGAGCTACAAAGGCGGGGAGATCCCAGCGTAATCATCGCTCTGGCAGGAAATAAGGCAGATCTGGCGGGGACGCGTAGGAAGGTTGATTTAAAGGACGCTGAGGAATACGCCCGAGAGAATGGCTTACTGCATTTCGAAACCAGCGCAAAAGATGCTCAAAATGTCAAAACCCTTTTTGTTGAGATCGCGAAGCGATTGCCCAAGGCTGTTGCACCCGTGGAGCGGGAGGCTTTTCCTATTGTGGCCCCGAAAGCATCAAAACGGTCGTGTTGCTGAGAGAAAGTGAGGCACATGCGAGGGTCGGCAGGGTGGTTGTCCATAGGCTCGTTTAAGGCGATGATCAAGACAGTGGAAGCGCAGGGATTGATAAGTGTACGTCAGAGTGCTGAGCACGGTAGTAGCTCCTCGCTTTTTTTGGCGGAAGCTTACAGGTGAATTTGGGGAGCGGCACGAGTATAAGCAATGTAAATCATGGTAGGAAGGAGAGATGGTGGAGAAATGGAGAGACGGGGTTCACAGCAAGGAAAGATTAAATGGACAGGTAGATCACTAATATCAGAGAGATCTTGAAGCGCATCGCAAAGATAAGTGAATTGTTGTGATCGCACGTAAAATTGGGTCAAATACATGCGCCCGATGGGCTCTCATGGAGCTTCATTTTGCATGGGACTTTGAATCACTTGATTCCACGGCAAGTCTCCTGATACGATCACGACAAAGGTAGGATTGTCATGGTTGTGGTACTGCCAAGGTGTAAAAGTTGACTGTCCGCTCTTCTTTGCGTCTCCGGTCCATTCCTTGCTGCCCCTCGAGCCATCGACATGCGATGCTCCATTTGCAGCTGTCGCTGCCTTGTTTCAATAATATAGCACCGAGAAATTTGAGAAGGCTGAGTCTACAAAGAAGGTACCTACTTCAGTCTTGATCTAGCTTCCAGTGGTTGAAAACTTTCTAAACAAACCTGAGCAACAAATCAATGAAACCTCTGTATACATATCGACCATTTTTTGAATAAGCACACGTTATATCTTTCTTCTTTCCTTATAACGGTAAAATTATTTTCCGACATTGCTTTTCTGACATCCCTCCGCAATTTGCCCTTTCATGCTGCAAGGCATGCACTCATTTACTTCATTTAATTTTACGTCGCCATGGTGTCCAGCTCGAAGAGCATGCTGGGGTCGGAAAGAACTCTGTGTGCACAGAAAGAGAGGATGGTGAGCATCGACTTGGACGTAAGTGTGATATGACATTTTTTACTTACTTTCTGACGAGCGGGTCCTCGCCCGTAATGAGGTCGAAGACCTTGGGCTCCTCCTTCATGACGATCTCTCGGAGCACCTTAAGAGCCTCGGGTTCTTTGCCCTTGAACTCCGACAAATCGATGGCTGAGTGGAGCGACAGGGAGGAAAAGGATTCGAATTAAGCGTGAGCAAAATAATAGTAACAGTCATTATACGAATTTTCGATTCAAGCCACTTACTATTTCCCCAAAGGCTGTCGGCAATCCTGTCGTGGAGCTGGCCGGTGGCTTCCGGGTCGCCCTCCTGCGTGTGAATGCGACGAGCAATACACATGAGCTCGGGATAGATGGTATTTCAAATCCTCTTCTCTAGATTCGTACCTCCACGCGTCGGACAAGCTCCGTCATACGTCTCTCTTCTTCTGTCAAAGCTCTGTGGGAACCATCCGGATTTTGTGTGACAGGACTCATGGCATCCGAGTACTTTTGCATGGTGGTGGCCATCCCCACAGGATCCGCCATATCCTTCATATTTTTAATAGCGGTTGAGACAAAGTTTCGGTAACTCTCAAGGACACTAAGGCTCTGTTACATGTTGATTGGGAAAAAAAGACGGGAGTTGCTGTGCTTAGTGGGATGCAGGGTACGTATATAAAATTTCCCAAGCTCGCAGGTACACCTAAACCTTATCTCCTCACTTACATCAGCTTTTGTAAATAATTCTTTGGGCTTGGCGCTCAGTTCTTTCACCCCGTTAAGAACCTTGAACATGGGAAAGACTGCAAGAGGAGAAAGAGAAGCATTTGAGAATGACGGCGACGGAAGCAAGCTACCCAAATTGTACATAACGGGGGGTCACTGGCGTACCTTGGAGCAATTGATAGGAGACTTCCGGGTTTTCGAAGATCTCTTGCATCTCTTTTCCCATGCTCATGTCAGCGAGGATGCCTGCATGGTCGCCGTTTATTAAGCGTCTGGCACCACTAAGGACAGAGTCGAAGCTCCAGGAGTCCTGAATATCCTCCTCTTCTCCAGCACTTGTGGATGTAGCCGCAGTTGCATCTGTGGCCATCATGCGTTTGACACGCTGCATAGGACCGCCTTTCTTCTCGCTTTCTGCAGCGTGGCACGCGGTGACTGCTCCTATCAGCAGGGCGATGACATGAAAACGCATTGCTTCTGGAAGGTCAGGTTGCTCCCTATACTATTGGACATTTCAATGAGATGACGCAGATGTATATTTCATATGCATTGTAATGCTTTGAGAGATCAAAGTAGATTTGTTCCCTTTCCTTGATTGTATCCCGTCGTTACATCCATATGGTCCCCCTCTCCGCCATAAATTGAGGCTTTGGACCAGATACTGACACGATCTCAATCGAATATAATATGGCTCGATCGTTTAGAAGATAAATTCAGTATCTGTTCCATAAGAAAAGGAACTGTCCTCGAAGTTCATTTTCAGGCTCTCAAGCATTCGAGTGCGCGCCTTTGACACACTTGCAGAGAGCCAACAGACGAAACTGCAAGTGCAGAACATCCATACTTCTGCCCTTGCACAAACACGCAAAAGAGCGTGATTCCCCTCGCTGCTCTCCAAATATACTACAGGTCCCGTTTCTCTGATTAGACTATGGTCCCGTAGGACTGGCTCGTTTTGAAGGTATATGGGCCTACGAACGAGTGCGGGTTGTCCTGCCTGTGGACAGCCCGCTCTGGCGTCATCGAATCTCAACGGCCGCCCACTCTCTTTATGAGAAGCACTTTCTATCTCAAAATAATCTCGAAGAATAGTCAAGAACCCATTGATTATATGCTACCAAAGCCAACCATAGATCATGTGTGACATCTTGCATCTGTCCCTGTACTCAGTCACAGACTAATGATGGTGTTCAGCGCAATACAGTTGTTGAACTATGTCATTTGAAATTTTCAATTTTTGGATCGTTTGTCTCCCTGGAGGGGGAAAGACGGGGTGAGAGAAGAGAGATCGAGGGAAAGAAAGCCTCCCTAAAAGCTCTTCTTTTAACTCAAAAATTGTGGGCAGCACTTTCAAATATCAATTGATAAAATAAACGTCTTCTCATTCAAAAGGTCCTACGAGAAGTGCTCAACATACAAGGCTGCTTCTACCATAAAGAATGCAGACATTTATTTCGTGTAAAAAAAAGGAACTTGTGTTTGCTACGCACAAGTGACCCAGTACCGCATAAGATTTTTTTGGCATTCAAGCCTGCAGAGCTAATTTAGAAATTTAATTTGAACAGTTGAGAGGAATGACAACAAAGTTGAGGTACAGCTAGAAGTTCATCTGTTCGTATGGTGTGTTCATGCTCCCATGCTATCGGAACAACTATTATGTGAGCCTGAAAAAGAATAAAGATTTTCTTGTCAAATCCGTTAGTGAATAGGGTTTCTAGACGCAATAGATAGTAAGGCATTTCGTTCGTGACACAATGCTGAATGACAAAAGTAAGTATGTATTGGGCTGAAAATAGCTGCTTCGAAGGTAACATCAAGAAGTAAGGAATATGAAAACATCAATTGGAAATGTGAAATTCGCATCGAGTTCCGTAACAAGGAGTTATTTGGTTTGTTTTTCTATCCATCCGAATGAAGCCTGAGCAAATTGTATGACTGCTTACGTTTAAATTGTTTCATTTCCATTCTAATGCTCAGTGCTTAGAATATTCTCTAATGCAGATTCACTTTACGGATTTTTTAAAAATTGAAATGAGCCTTTGGATTCTCGTGGAAGACTTGATTGATAGTTTCTGTCTTTCGAATCTCTGCCCACCTTCAAGGTTCTTTTTTCTGTAACACTTGTGGATCCTCTTTGGCAGAATAAGACAAAGAGTGTTCGCTTACGCACATCTGTTTTCTCATGAATAGAATTAGAAAGGTAACGGTCTGGGCCTTACAATTTTGACATGACGCTCAAAATTGTGCATGATTTAAAAAAAAGATAAGATGCATTCTTTGTCACTCTTGCATATACGTAAAAAGACCACACAAGCCTGCAGAGAAGCTGTTTCTTCTACATGTCGTCAGGTTTGTCGATAATTCAGCAGAATGATGCACATCGAGTGCGTCGCGATTGTGATGAACAACTCGTCGCATAAAAAGTGATTGCAACAAGCCGGAAATATGGAGGAGCATAAAGTATAACGTGGATCCACGTCCCAAAAAATTTGTGTTTTGAAGTGTATCTCAAGGTGTAAGACCTGGGTGCACGCTCCTCCCGTTTCCAGGTCTATCACGGCAGTACAATAAATATTGACAACACCATTGGAGAAGTAAGCATCAAACAATAAACAAAGTCTTATGCTTGACTGAAACTATGTAAAAATTTACAAATCTTTGTCTTTAATTGTGTGGATTTGTTGAAAACGTGACATAAAGCGCGGCTAATTGGTAAGGCTTAGTCTCTTCATGCATCCAAACGTAACATGGTAAGTCTTTAACGTTTTTCCGGCAAGTGGTCATAGTCAAATAACATCATATGAATAAATATAGCAATATTTTCACACGAAGCGATCAAAATCTTCAATTTTATGGTTGTATATTTGTTTGTTTGTCCAATTACTGGCAGACCCACACCAAATCATGTATTTGGCGGCAGATAAAAACAATGAATTTAAAACGAATAAAGCTTGCCCAAAAGACAATAATTAGAGGCATACATACTCTAATGTAAAGATTGATACAAATTAGTGTCCTTTTGCTGTCTTTCGTCTCGTGCTTCGTTCTCAAAATCGTTCTCCCCCCATGCCCCAGTAATGGCGTCATCGCCACGGTGTCTTACGACAGGATCTTGTGACAACTGTCCAGCCTTGAAGGTACGAGATAGGAGAAAGCTGGAATTTTCACTACATTTCATTCCGGGTATGCTCATCACGCCCAGACGGCTCCTTTTCAACGCAGAAATCGTAAAAGCGTGACAATTAACACGAATGGGACCATGCGTTGGCCAGTGACCCGAAGACACCCCGATGCCGGTTACCTGACCAACTCGTTTACACAGATTCAAAACTTTTTTCAGGAGAGAACCTAGACGTCCAAGGAGAGGAGTGCTGATTAGATGCACTTGCAAATTGCTTTGTCGTTGGTCTTTTTGTTTTTGTTGTTTGGTCTTTTATGTGGCTTAAAGGATAAAGCTTGGTGTTTTGATCGGTGGGAACGTCTACTTGACGACTTGCTAACATCGTAACGGGGGCCAGGACGTAGACATGGGCCGGACCTCGAAGAGACACTGAACGCTCACCGCGTGTCGAGCAGTTTTACCGGTCAATGGCATGCTCGAAGTTCTGTTTATACTCTAAAATGCTATAAGCTGCAACAAGTTCCATATTGATCATGACAAACATTTTTAGATAGTGCGAATGGGCCGTGTCCATGAGGGTAAATCTTTGTATAAGTTTTAGCTCACAAACAACCAAAATATCAATTAAGCAGTTGACATCCCATGGCCAGTGGTATGCTTCCTAGCGACCCGCAACTAGGGCAGGCCCCCCGCCGCCGTCGTCGGGTCCTGCTGATTTCTCTTGGTGCACTGTGCCTCATCGTGGTCGGTGCTTTAGCCATTGGCTTCGGAATTAAGGGCAAAGACAACGATAAGAGCATATCAACGCATGGCAATAAGCACGGGCCCGCGACGGAAGTGGTTTCTTCAATGGCTGACACGAAGAACACGATCGTCCCCTCCGCACCCGAATCAGGTACGTGTGAAAGTGTAAAATTGAGGGAAGACCAGAATTGAAATTAGAAACTGATTTGATACTCGGTAGCCTTGAAGTACATGGGTATCTCCTCGGTCCATTTAAAATTTTCAATAAAGCTACCTATTGCAGATCATTGTTGAGCTCGGACAATTGTTATTCTATGACGTACTGCTACTAAAAGCTGAGACGTGTGCGTTCCTATCATTCGTTCTGCTCGCTGCTTTGACATGGTGCACATGTTTTCTATTACCCCTATCACAGCGCCGGCTACTATTGTGGAGCCCGTGAAAGCTCCTGTTTCCGAGTCTAAGCCTAGTGCTCCCGCGACTACCACAAAGGTAGACGACTCTGACAAGATCCTGACGTTTGGGGACGGAGAGAGGAACCCCCTCGGTCCTTTGTTCGGTGCTCTGCCTGGCGCTGCGGCTATCAATGGCGCTTTCAATACCCTGGCTGCCAGCGCTGCCAATCTGGCTGGCTTGCAAGTCTGCTATCCTCAGAATGGTGAGGAGCTGAAAGGGATGACGGAAAGCGGGAGCTCCTGCAGCGTGATCATTTTGAAGAAGGGATCGTCCGACAAGTACACTCTACCCTCGACTGTAATCGTAACCTCTCGAAAGATCGTCTTGGGTCATCCCATCGACCTTCCGCAGATCCATCCTGACAATGGAGTGTACCGCCTTTTCGAGGTGAAGCCTGGCGGCAGCTTGGATATTCGTTTCGTGAGCCTCTTCCGCCCGTCTCCACGGAAGGTTGACGACAACCTCAGTGTTATCGTTGCGGGCGTTGCGCTTGTGGAGCTGGGGGGCTACATGCGGGGCACAGCTTGTATTTTCCGACAGCCCGCGCAAACATTTGAAGGTTTCGTGAAATCACTCGAAACCCCCTTTGCACGCAAACGCATTGTGGGTGGTTTCGTCTTGGTTCTGGGAGGGACTTTCTTTTGCTATGGATGTCAAGCTGTTCGCTGGGCACCTTACGGGTCGCCTAATGTCAATGTTGTCCAGATCGGACGGGATTATCTAGTCATGGCCGGCTCGAATGTGTGCATCGGATGCTATCACGTTGCCTATTCACCCTACGGTTCTGCAATCAGTGTGGGAAATGCCATGGGAGTCTTTGGTGGCGTGAATATCCGAATTGGAGGCGGAACGATCGGATCCTCCGTGCTAAAAGGACAGTTTGGTGAGTAAAACAAAGTGGATGCATTGTATATGAGATATCGCTTCTGCATACACATTAATGGAGGAAAACAAGGACTCATCATATTTATGACACCTAGGTGCTGGACAAAATATATTCGTCGGCGGCGGAGTGATTGTGAATGTGGGTCACCAGCAGCAGACTGCTTTTGTCTGCCTCATTCGTGCAGGATATGCCATGACTGCTGTTGGATCAGGAGTAATGGTGCTTATTGCAGAGCTCGAAAATCGTGCTTGGGGTGTTGCCGCTATCAACGGTGCTGGTCAGGTGTACGCAAATGGAGCTGGAGTCCTTGACAAGACCGGAGGAGAAGTTGTAAATTGTGCAAGCTCTGTCTACCAGGCCATTGTGGGTGGAAGTTCTTATCTTGGCACTGGAGACATGAACATTGTGGGCGAGCAGTATGCCCGTGTCACGGTGACCCTGGATCAGAATGGTGTCGGACTGACCTTCTTCAACGGTGCGGGACAGACAAGTTTGATTTATGTGCCAAGTTTCGTGTCGGCAGTTGTCCGTTCGCAGAAGATTCTCGGCGCTGAGGTGAGATATGACAATTTTTCGTCCTTTGGAAAATTTAACACGAAGATCTATGTTGTTTTGTACTCATACATTCGTTCACATCTCATCAGGCATTCTTAGGCGCTGGTTTCTTCACGAACGTCAACAATACACGCTGGACCATTCAAGTGGTGAATGCCGGTATTCCCGGATACGAGGGGTGGATTGGTCTCGGAGCTGCCCTCTTTGTCCGATCCCGCACGACGGTCAGGCGTGTGGTCAACTTCCGCTTCAATCCTTACGCATGGGTAGTCAACGGCCAAGGCGTGCCTGGGTCTGCGTACCGCGAGAACAACATTTTCGTCAACAAGGACGGCATTCGCATCAACAAGCCCAACCCGTCGAAGAGTCGTCTGCTTGCTGCCGTGGACGAGATGGTGGATGGTCATCTCAAGTCCAAGAGGAATACCCAGGGTCTCCTTGCGGGCATCAAGAACTTTGTGGACCGTCCGGCCGTCGTGATGGCGAACAGCGAGATGGACTCGGCGCGCATGCGTCCTCCCGATCCCCAGATCTTGGCCGGAAAGATCCTGTCCATGGTAACGTCTCTGAAGCACAAGCGCCGTCTTCAGGGTCAAGCCGTCGTCAATCCTACGCGCATGATGAACATGTTGGCTGGTCTATCCCCAGCAAAGCTTATGGAGGCCTGGAAGGAGGCTACAGAAGAGACCAACAGGAACCCCCTGCTCAGCTTGGTGCAAGGCAACAGCCGCGCGTTGGCCGAGACCGCCGATCCTACGGCGGTGGACGAGAACGGTCGATGGGCCGAGCAGGTGTACGTGGGCGGGAAGGAGACCCAATGTGTCATGTGCGGTGTGGGCCCGGGGCCTTCGTCTTCTCACTGGTCGACAGGAGGGAACGACACTGCGACTTGCCACGTGACGGAGGAGTGCACTTCCCGTAGCTCATTCCGGGACATTCTGGCAGCGGCGAAGAATGCGTTGCCGCAAAACGAGGAGCTGGTCTTGCCCCCTGTGGCGAAGGGCGTCGCAAAGGCGCTTGGATCGACGGATCTCGCGCCCAAGTACACTCGTCGCATCTTGCAGATGATGGAGGAGCACCAGGAGGCGAACCCTGGAGCGGAACCCAAGCTGCCCGACCACAACATCCTGGCGTACGAGTTGTCTCTATACTGCAATGCTGACGACGCAGACTGCAGCTTCAACCAGGCGGACATGAAGGCGGCAGTGAAGCTGTTCCTGGGCGAGCAAGCGGACGAGGAGTCAGCATTCAATGTCGCAGCTTCCACGACAGATGTGCATCCTGCTCTCATCGACTACGTGAAAGAGGCAAGCAGCGAGTTTTTGGATTCTGTGAAGGCCCCGTCCCACGGCAGCGGATGTGGCAAGGGACTGAAGTTCAACGTGCAGATGACGGCGCCGGACGCGGCCTCTGTGAAAGACTTGCAGAAGATCTTCGAGGGCGTGGCCAGCAATGGCGAGTCCTTGCTTGATACGATCAACAAGTACGACGAGCGTGACGTGCCGTTCTGCGACGTGAAGGTTAGCAAGCCATCGACGCTCTTCTTCCCG